GCACCCAAATCCAACATAGCTTTTTCAATTTTAATATTACCTATTTTGCAAGGGACAGTAAACATACCTGGGTCCTTGCATTTAGGAGGCAATTTTTTCTGCAAAACTGCCGAAACATTTTCTCCCATATGCACTTTCTCGTTTCCTTTCAACTTTTTCTTACCAGTGCATAACTCCTTCAAAAATTTAGCATATCTAGGAATTTGCTTAATTGCATCTAAAAGAGGGATATTTACCTCAACTTTTCGAAAAGTGTCCAAAATCTCCTGTTCTTGCTCTTGCTTTTTGGACTTTGCCAGTCGACTAGGAAATGGAGGCGGAGGTGTAACCACTTGTGTTGATTTTTCTCCAAAATCTGGTTGTTCCAAGGCTCTAGGTTGAGACACATTCCCCTCTTTTTCGAGCTCTTCCTCGATTGCTTGTTCAGAAATTTTCTTGCTCGGCTCAGGCAACTCTTTGCCACTTCTTAATGTGATGGCACTAGCATTTTGCTTGGGGTTGACAATTGTCTGCGAAGGTAGCTTTCCAGATAATTGGGACTCCAATCTATTGACTGTGGAAGCTAACTGGCTCATTTGATTCTCCAAATTATGAATGCTAGTTTTCGTCTCCTGTTGAAATTGTTGAGTGTTAGTAGCCAAAGATTTCACAATATCCTCAAGTGACATACCTGATTTAGGAGCAGGTTGTTGCTGTGAAAGTTGAGGTCTAGGTTGATATTGTGACTGTTGTGGAAATCCTGGTGGACTTACTGCATAATTAAAATTAGGATGATCCCTCCATCCTGGATTATAGGTATTTGCATAGGGATCATACCGTCTCTGAGGTGGTCCTGGAAATCCAACTGCATTAGCCTGCTCAGTCGAATCATCTTGGAGTGTGGGGCACATATCTGTTGGATGACTCGAACCATAGCAGATTCCACATGTTTTCAATTGCTGCATTTGTCCTATAGCTAACTTTTCAACCAAAGAAGTTAGACAATCTAATCTTTGCTCTATTGAAGAATTACTTACCTCATTGACTCTACGAGTCGTGTTATCCTGCCTGTCTCCAAATTGTTGAGCATTTGCAGCCATACTCGATATCAAATTTCTTGCCTCCGTGGGTGTTTTATTCACTAAGGAGCCCCCACTGGCAGCATCAATAATTCTTCTGTCAGTTTGGGACAGACCCTCATAAAAATACTGGATGAGGAGTTGGTCAGGAATTTGATGATGAGGACAACTAGCACATAGTTGCTTGAATCTTTCCCAATATTCATGTAGAGTCTCTCCATTGAATTGTCGAATTCCACAGATGTCTTTCCTAATGCTTGCAGCTCGGGATGCAGGAAAGAATTTTTCTAGAAAATGCTTCTTCATGTCTGTCCATGTGGATATTGACCCAGAGGGCAGATAATAGAGCCAATCCTTAGCTTTATCGGCTAAGGAAAATGGAAAGGCTCTTAATTTAATTTGCTCCTCTGTGACTCCCTGGGGTTTCATTGTCGAGCAAACCACATGGAATTCTTTGAGATGCTTGTGGGGATCTTCACCTGGTAAGCCATGAAAAGAAGGAAGTAAATGGATTAGTCCAGATTTTAACTCAAATGCAACCTCTAATGTAGGATAAGTAATGCATAGGGGCTGTTGATTTAAATCTGGTGCAGCCAATTCTCTCAATGTCCGTTCATTAGCCATGGTGCTATTTATCTCTTCCGTCTCACTAAATGAATCCACAAAATCTACTACTGAATTATGTCCAGTAGATGAGGAGGATGCCTCTGCTCGTTCTCTTGTTGCTTTTCTCAATGCACGAGCAGTCTTCTCTATCTCAGGATTATATTGCAGTTCACCTGTACGAGAAGATCTAGGCATAAACCAGTAAAAAAAAAAATAAAAATAAAAATAAACAAAGAAAATAAAATTCAAAGAAAATAAATTTATTTTGACACCAAGTCCCCGGCAACGGCGCCAAAATTTGTTGGGTGTCAAACCAGCAAAAATAAAATTCCTACTCTTAAGTCACGAATTAAGTCCACTATGGTACTGGAGCAGGGACTTAGGCTGTGCAATGGGTTACTAGCTTCACCCTGGTGCCAGAGTTTGTTTGATCCGATATACCAAAGTGTATTAATTACGTGAAAGACAAAATTCGAATATAGCAGCGAGCAGGGTCGAATCCACAGGGACTTGGGAATTTATTTTGAATGAATGTAACATTAAATAAAAATGGGGGAAGTTGATATGGAACTGTCTAATTTAATTGCTCAAATTAAAAATATAAAGTAAATTGACGGAAGGAAAATCTCTAGTCAAAGGTATAATCTCCACTTATGGTTCGAATCACTGATCACAGATGCAGAGATAAAATCTTTCATTTACAAATAAACTGGTTATGGTTGTCAACAAGCTCTGACAACCTGCCTAACCTTCCTGATTCGATAACCACAACAAGCTCTGTAGTTATTGCCCTAGCCAATTAAGCAGTCCTAAACACGCTCTTAGGATTTAACCTATTGACAGCATTAATCATTAGACTGGCCACCAATTATAACCAACAAACACACACGCTCGGTTTATTTAGGCTATATCATATATTTCCGCAACAACGACTCAAAAGTTTCTACTACAATTGAATCATATCACTTGCCACATGCACTAAAATTACCCAACAATTACGGATTGAGCACTCTTAGATGGCTGTTAATTACTCACACAATTAAACAGTGATCAAGTATTTAATTGCAAGAAATAATCATATGCATAAGTGAACAGGAAATATATAAATACTTGCAAATTAAAGAACGTAGGGAAATCAATTCGATCTCACAGTTTTGTCGAACCAAAGCTTCGATTTAACCTCTGACTAGATGAAGAAATTAGCCACTCCTCATAGTTGAATTGCAGCCAAAAGTACTGGATTGCAAAGGCATTGCGTTTTTACTAGAAAGCAAGGAATAAAAGATGTTTTTCCCGTTGGGGAATATTGTCGAACACCTGGCGTGTGTCAGAGGCCAGTCCAGAGAAAGGAAACTAGAACTAAACTAAAAAGCTAAACTAGAGGTCCCCCCTTGCTTCTGTACGTCCTCTCCTTAAAAAGCCAAAAGTAAGATGACTAAAAGCTATCTCCGGTGGTCCCCACACATGTGGACAAAGTCTCCAAAATTACTTCTTCTTCCAAGTCTCTCTACGTTCCTTTCTTTTAAGAGCCCAAATGACTTATAGCTTTGTGGTCCCCACCAATCCAAGGCCTAAGGATTGAATCCCTTAGAAGTCTCCATATTCTCCAAAAAGTCCCTCCTTTTTGGTAGTTTTCTGCTTCATTCCTGAAATTAAGTCCCGATACCAAATATGAGTAAATATCAGCAATTAACACAATATTTGTCAGGGATAGAAGGGAAAATTAATAATAAAAATACCAACAATTAACACCCTATCATTTACCTGTCAGAGAGGCTATACACAAGAGAGCTGCATTAAGGGATCCAGTGTGTAAAGGATGTGGAGAAGAGCCTGAGACAATTGAGCACACCTTACTGCAATGCCCTCTAGCACAGAAGATTTGGAAAGTAGCTCCATTAATATGGGATGGAGCTAAAGACCAGACAGGGAACTTTCAAAGATGGTGGAGTACAATTACTGAGGCTAGGAAAAGGCAAGAAGGGAGAAGCCACATGGGACTTACGGCTAATATACTGTGGCAGATATGGAAGGACAGAAATAAGAGGGAGTTTGAGCATCATACTGGCAGCCATCCGTGTAGTGTTATTCAAAAAGCACACAAGGAGTGGCTAGAACTAGAGGATCTAGAGCCTATGAAGAACTCTAGGAGTACAACAGAAACACTGACGACTTTGGAAGAGGACTGTCATGCACAACAAAGTCAAGACCTCATCATTCTGAAGATGGCAACCAGAAGATCACAAAAACATGCAGTGCTGGGAATTGGAGTTGACATTTCTAAGATGCAAACGGAGGCAAAGGAGTTGTAGGCCTTAAAAGACAGAAGCTCGGGTGACCAAAATATAGATGATGCCGCTGCTGTTCAATTGATTTTATGCAAAGCTTTGGACAGACATTGGAGCAACATCAGTATACAAATTCACAACAAGGACCTACTGAAGCGCCTCAAGTTTGGCAAATCCTCAGACTGCAGATTGACAACAATCCTTGAAAATATATTGTGTTAAAGTCTTTGTTTCGAGTGTGCTCCTTTAGCTTAGTTAATTATGATGATAAGGATGTTTGTGCTAATATTAGCTCATATGCCTTAGGCATTTTGTTGGATGAGGAAGCTCTTGTTCCTCCGTGTCAATGAGCACGTGATGTACATATGTTCGGGCCTTTGCTCGATTTGTTAACTCTTTTTTATAGTTCAATGCAAGCAAACTAACGTTTCGGAAAAAAAAAAAAAGTGAAAACCAACGTAGTACTAAAACTTAAAAGAGCATGGGATCAATTATTATGAAAAATTAAATTGACCCTTTTTTTTGTTTTTGCCCTTTTGGCATTTCCCTACTAGTAGTAGTATCATTTTCGTAAGTAGGGAAAAAAATTCTCCTGATGCTAATTAACCCAAGTCCAACGCACAAAAAACCCAGAGCCGAAACCCGTCTCTTCGCAGCTCCGTCTACAGTGGCCCTTTTCGCCTCCTTCCCCAATTCCGTTTCCCTTCTGAGTTCCTGGCTTTCTTCGGATCTGGGCTTCTTCAATCTAGAGCAGAAGAATCACAGGATTGAAAGCCTCCATCATCGTGAGTATCCTTATTCCCTTTTTCCTTCCATATCGAAATTAAATTCTTGATAAAGAAAAGAAGGAATGGTATTGAATAAAAGTTTGCTCTTTTGATGTATTCCTAATTCCCATTGCCCTCGTCGTCCCGTATATATATATATATATATATATATATATTATATATATATATATATATATATATTAAAAAAAAATTTAAATCTGCCTGCCGTCGAGATAAAAACAGCAAGAAAAAAAAAACAGAAGAAAGAAAAGGGTGGCGGTCGATTTTAGTGAGTTGTGGAAATGGAGAGAGCAGCGGAGGCACTGAACAGAGCAGCAAACAGCAATGGATTGATGAATGTGTTTCTAATTGGGTGCTTTGGGGCGCTGGGAGTTCGGTCGATGAGGCAGCAGAGGGATATTGAGGCATTGGAGGCAGAGAAGGAGTCTTTGGTCAAATCCAATAAAGCCATCAAGGCTACTATTTGGGACTGGAAGAAGCAACTCTTTGCCGAGGCTGAGGAGGCTGCTGCCGCGGGGTCCAAGAATTCTTCTAGAGCAGCAGGGGGGCCCTTAGTTCCTCTTTCCAAGCTTAAGGCTATCTACGGCGAAGTAACCAGCCCAGCCCTCCCCGCTGCTGATGCCGACGGCGCAAGTGGTAAATCACCTGCATCAAAGATTGTAATTTGACGGACAGTTTTTCCTACTAGTAATCATTCATCTACTACTCTAGTACTGGTCTGATTTTCACCCCAAAAAAAAAATTTTTTTTTTTGATACTGCAGAAGCCTAGAACTATAATGCATAATCCCCTCCGTTTATCTTCTTGAAACTTTCATTTATCCGTCTGCCCACCCAGCGTTGACATAATCTGATTAACTTGATGCTTTCAAATTTTAGTACTACTAGTAGTATTTGCAACGGACTATGTGAAGGGCCATTTGGAAGTTGGAAATAATTTGACGATCACATCTGGGAGTGGAGACTTCTATGAGAATCGATGCTTTCCTATTCTAATTCTGATATTCTGGGAGTGGAGACTTCTTGTTTCAGATTAGGCCCAGCAATGGACCAACAGACCCCTCCAACTTACTTTCCAGACAAAAGGCTCGATGCATTTTCTCACAAATTGGTCCAACGGGCAAGACAGAGATAAAACACTCCTCCTAAAGAATTAATTGTACAGGAGAAGCAAAACATTTTCATAAATAAAAAATCAAAAGTAGGAAACAAAATGAAGAATACAAGAAGCAAAGCTGGAATGATGGTATGCCATCCTTCTATTTGATGACCACTGCCGTCTCTTCCGTGTGCTGATTTTACTGAATGATGAAGACGTTCCAATCTGCAATCTATGGAGATTTACTTTTGTCATCTACGTAAAGGTCACCTGTGATGCCGGTATCCAATCTTGGCCATCTAGAAATGGTCCTATAGCGAAATTAGAAGCTTGTTTGGGTGTGAGAGTGGGCCTGTAGCCTGCCCATTTGACCCTGTTGGCGACGCTTGCTCCTGCACCCGTGTTTTGGTACTCGGCGTAGAAAATGGTGCTGGGTGGCTCCACATTTCGGAACCACTCTATCCAACCCCCGGACTCAACAAGCCGCCAATTTTAGTTTGCATGATTATAGTGGTGGAGTAATTCTTCCAGGGCCTGCCGAGGAAGACTGGAACTGTGACGTTGTCCAGCGGAATCACGACACAGCTTTGAATACTAATGCCTGTGTTCTGATTGGGATCCTTCTTTCCTTGAGCCGTTATGGTTACAAATTGATCCGGAAGTGGCTGTCTGGGCAAAATGTTGCAGTCCTGAAAAACAACCGCAGCATTACCAAATATGAAGTCTACTGTCCCAATGATGTCGCATTTGCTGTAGAATTGGCGATTGGTGTGTGAATAAAGGGTATCTTGGAAGCCATCAAAAGAACACTGATGGAAAACAGATTGGTCGGAGCCGGACCGCACTGCCACGGCCTGCTCCTTTTCTGGTCCAGCTGTGTTCTTGAATCCCATGTTCTTTGCTATGAAATTTTTCCCCGTCACAGCTGGTAGTAAACATGAACCAATGTCAGCTACACAGTTATAAATGACAAAAAGTACTCAAAATCAACAGAGGTTTATATATGGACGAAGAGTACTCACCGAATGTAGGCGTGTCGAAAGTTCGGGTTCCATCAACATAATTGTCGTCGAAGGTAACAATGGTCTCGGTCTTGCCATCTCCATACATCATCACATTCCACAAGGGCTTGTCCAATATCACCTTCTCCTTATAAACACCGGCCTTAACATAGATCACAAACCTTGTTTTACTGTTTATCGGAATCCTTGCCACCGCCTCATTGATTGTCCTATAATCTCCACTGCCGTCCAGGGCCACGACCAGATCAGGCTGTGGATCCTTAGACGTTTGAAGCAGCCTCCTGTCAGCTGCTCTAACCCAATGGGGAAAACCTGAACTTCTTCCTGTCTCCCCTAGCAACTTCCTATTAACTGGGATTTGAAAGTCGCTGAGAATTTCAACGAGTTTCGAGACTATTGCCAAACTGTTGCTGGCAAATTCGGTTGAGTTCTTCATTGCTGTTCTCACGTCTTCCAAGATTGTAGCATTAACTTCTTCCAGAGTATCCAAGCATGTCTCTAGATCGGTAAGGGAGGTGCTCAGCCAAGTCTTGAGATCATGGATTCTCTTCACGGAGAATACTTTGTTGCTGTCGATCACGTTTAAGGATAAGATAGATTCATTGACGGCATCAACTGCTTCATCAAATACCGTTTGGCATACACCCAAAGCCTTCTTGACTTCAGGGTCATCAGTATTGTTTATCCATTCCTGAGGCAGAGTGGAGAGCTTCTCCAGGGAGTCGTGGACGACTTGCAAAGAAAGATGGAAGAGCTTTTCCGGGTCAATTGTGGAATTTGAAGTCCCGAATGGTGAAAGGCTACTGTAACATGATTTTGGATAAGTTGCTACACTGCAGACTGCTTTTATTGATTGAGCTGAGTTTGGAGTTGAAGAAAGAGCATCATCACCATTCTTGTTCTTCTTGTGATTAAGAGTCCCCACCACGATTCCAATGATGAGAGCTACCAAAACAACCAGTGAAAGAAGTAAAATGATCATCTTTCTACGATTTCTTTGTTTGAGGGCTTGTTTTTCTAGAGAATCCACTTTCCCATAGGCCTTGAAGGACTTCGTCATTGTATGTGTTATTTAATCGAGCTTGAGGTTGATGTTCTTTTTTCCTCTCTTGAGGAAACTTGTGTATTATACAAAACGACTGAAGTTGTAAAGGAGGTTTGAGAAGTATCTGATGTCTTTCAGCAGATGAATGAAGTATCTTTTTATAGGAGAGAGTGGCCTGTTGGACTTGCTCTAAGATGCTGTCTAACCATTATAATTTAAAATTATTGCCGCTGGTTAAACTTAAAAAGCTCCTTATGATGGATTCAACCTGTCATTATCCAATTTGATGCTCTGTCTAAGGCATTCTCTCTCTCAACCGATCAATATGGATGGATCGATCATCAGTCGTTTGATCTGTTCTTGTTCTTTCGTTTCTGGATTCTGTGTTAGTTTTCCCTTTGATGGACGCTGTGGCACAGTCAAGTAATAGCTAGGCAAGGAAAGAAGTTTTGAATGTCAATTGCTTTGCGATTTGAACGGATACTAATGTTTAGGATTTTGCAATCTGGTTTTTGTTCATGTGATGTTTGAAACAAGAATAGTTTGATCACATACTCTTGTTTGCAACAAGAATAGTTTGATCACAAGTTTAAGTCTGAGTTTGTCAAGGAAAGGAACTGTGAATCTCAATTGCTCTATGACATGAAAACTATTTATGTTTACGCTTTTGCAATCAGGTTTTAGTTTAAGTGATCTTTGCAAAAGAGTACTTTGATCACATAGCTTCATTAGAGAGTTTCACTCAAATTCTGAAAGGGAAAACTTGAGAGAAAATTCACCTAAGACGCCGAGATAGGCGTCACGTAGCTTCCTTCTTCCCCTGCTGGGACATGAAACTTTGAGCAGTTGTCATGTCCTCAATTAACACATGTCCCGATGGGTATGTCACATGATTTAATACTTCAGCTAATTGGAATTTTACACACTCCCAAACTGTGCATCATCGTTTTCTGGCTACATTGAGCTAAGCTGCTCTTGATAATTCAAGAGGGTCGTAGTTATCTGATACCATGTTTTCAATGCCAACAAAAATATTCACCGAAGGATGATGATGAACGTAACGTAAGAGGATAATGACATTCATAAACTTGGCATTTGCATTTTCAGCAACCAGATAACTATATAAAATCCCCAGTCGAGAGTTTTTGCTAGCCAGAAGCAATCAGGCTGTTATTTGGAGGGACATTGATGGAGTATGTTAGGAAAGGGGATGTCCGGCTTTCCAATCGCGAATGAAAAACTAGCTAGGATTTTAGTTTGACGGGGTAAGACCATTTACTCAACTCAGCTAAGACCAGGTCTGTGTCCTAGTTCGGTTATGCTGATCGGCAAATCCACCTGGCAATAATATGTGGAGTTAAGATTTTGATAGACTCAATCACACTAGAAATGACATTGACGTGCTGGATTGGACCATATACTGGCCTCACGATTGCATCTCACAAGTTGCCAGGATACGAAACTCAGGCCTTGGTCGCATGAATTTTCCTCGGTTTCCTGTGGGGTGGCAGAAGAAATTCAGAGAAACTGGCAAAACCATATGCATAGCATATATATAATATATATATATATAATGTATATGTACATATAACGAGAACTATAAATAAAGACACAAAAGGGAGAATGCAAGTGCGAGTGCATTGAACAGAGCAGCCAACAGGATTGTCACTTGCGATGAATGTGATACTAATTAGCATAGGATGTTTTGGAATCAGCAGAAAGACATTTGAGGCATTGGAGAAGGACTCTTTGGTTAAAGCCATCAAGACTGGTATCTAAGGAGGCTCAGGCTGCTAAGGTTGATGGCAGACCACAGCATTAAACGTGGTAATTTGAGAGTTGTCTCCATGAAGAGTCGTCTTTGACGAGCTCGAGATGATCTTCAGCGAAATGACTGCACTTAAGAGTATCTTGTTACGGTTTTGCACTCCTAATAACAGATTGAGACTTGCAAAATATGCGATGATGGAAAGTTTTTTTGTTGGGGGGTCATTGAAAATTTGCCTGCATGATTGTTCTGTTGATGTTGTTGTTACCTGTTCAGTTTGCTGCCCCATCTTTTGATTAACAAAAGAAACTCTTAGTTAGTTAGTGTGGCACAATCAATATATGGAGGAAAGAAATATGCCAAGAGAAAGCTAATCAATATATGTCTTATTTGCATCAAGTGCGGCATAATTTTTTGCCATTCTAATTTGAAAGCTGCAATTCGATCTTCCAGCTCCTAAAATAAGAAAGGGTAGTTTTGTTAGCTAAATTTTACCTTAATCAGATTTTTTTATTTTTGGTTTGGTCTGAAACATCAACTAAAGCGGATTCAACAAGCATCCGTCCATCTTTGGATGTAGCTGGACAAGGCATTTCCGAAAAAGCATTAGCGAGGTCACCAGACCATTCAAGCCCAATAAAGGATGATCTCAAGTTTTGCCTTTTTCATTCAGAAAATTGATGCATCATCTGACAATTCGCCCAACAAGCAAAACACCAGACAATCTCTGTGGTTTACAAACATCTCGACAGGGGACTCGCAATAAGGTGCTAGTGCTAGTAAGCAGTAATATGGATAACCAGTAGACGAACTAAATGTATACAAACCAAGAATGTTAGTAGAAGCCACGGAACTCTGCAAAACATTAAAAATGTACGTACGGGGGTGCAATTGCTATATGCAGCAGTTGGAAGCTGTTCCTATACTAGTCGGCCGTTTGGAGTGGTAAAGCAAGGAGGAGAGGCTCTTTTATTGGAAAGGGGTAGTGTAGG